GCATGTGGTAAATATGATCATTTTTGAAAAGTCTGTATCAGCAACTAATTCATGCTTTTCTGTGGAATGAATTCAAAGGCTTGGCTCCGTAGAAAGTCAGCATTAACCAAAGATAGAGTGGATTTGTTAATTATACAGATCAGTATGGAAATCCTGACCAAGTGGAGCCACCAGCATGCCTGGAATTCAAATTTGTCTAACTGGTAATGTGATCTATTACAGAATTTGTATCATGAATTGTCATCCTGAAATATACTTAAAAGTTTTAGCTGGTCTAGGCCTTCCAGAGGAAAGGAACTTCATAGCTCCAAATTTGACACTTAGGAATTCACCAGGAAGCAAAAAGATCTGCAGATGCTTACACTAGGTATATTTTACACTGAGTAAAAATTTGTTTAGGTTTAAGGCCCCCTCTCTTCCCACACACATAATGCCCTAATTTGGCCCCTCGTAAATCATTGTCTTCTGCCAAAGGCTTTCATGGCCTCATCTGGTAGCAATGATTCAAGTCTCTTGTTTAAATTTCCTGGTAATGACAAACAGCAACACTCCCTCGGAAGCATTCTGATGTTCCATAGGAAGCTTTTATGGTGCCTCTGAACTACTAAAGCATGCACAGAAATTGGGACAGATATCAGCAGTAGATCCTGCCCCAGCACAGGGATTCTTGCATCTGCCCAAAAATGTAGTTTGCTGATGCCAGCTACATTAGTATGCGTCACATTGACCATAGAAAGATAATGTAACTGGGATTGTAATACTCTTAACTGGCACCTATTTTTGGTGTAATGGTTTTGTCCTATATTAGGACTAGGTTCTGTAGGAATGGCTTGATGGGCATGGCAGGTGAAGGATACTGTAAAATCTCCATTCCCAGCCCACTCCAGGGAAAAATTACTGCAAAATCTCCATTTTAAATACCACTAGTTCTCCAAACTACTCAAAATTTCTGCTACCGGTTCTCCAGAACTAGTCAGAACCTCAGTGGTGGGTTTCAAAAAAATTTCGAACCTACTCTGTGGGTGTGGCCTCCTTTGTGGGAGTGGCTTGCTGGCCAT